AAAGCCAGGTGAGTTGCTGGGTGCTGCCCCAGGGGGCTGGATTTTCTCTGCCGTGTCTGCATAGCCAGGCAAACCAGGGAGTTATGTATTGCTCACAGCTGCATCACCGGCGCTGGGGAGAGAGCACAGGGCTGAATGCTGTGTGCTTTCGATGCCTGGTTGGACACACTCCACCCCCAGCTCTGACATGCAGCTTCGCCCTGTGCCCGGGGCAGCAGCGTCACCTTTCCAAGCCTCAGTTTCCCCATCTGCTGCGGCAAGATAATGTTCCTCTGCTTGATCCTGCACTATCTCACAGGAAGGTTGCATTAGCAGTTAGCTAATGGCTACAAGGAGCTTTGAAGATGAAAAGCCGTGAACAAATGCCAAGAAGTGCTGAGCTGGATGCTCCTCACCTCAGTAATCGTTTCATGTTACTGGGACACTTCCACTTCTGCAAAATGAGAGGGAAGGGTGGGAGCCTGCGTGCGGGGAGGGGCGCGGGGTGCCCGGCTTCCCAAGACCTGCCCCTGCAGATCTGATCACCGCTCGTGTTCTCATCACATGCAGATCCTCCTGCCCTTCCGCCAGCCCGACCTGCTGCTCCCAGCTCTGCTCCCTGCTGCAGCATCCTTGGTGTGCTGCACAGAGCCCTGAGTGCTGCTCCCACACTGCTGCTGAGCACCTCACCACCCAGCCTCGTCTCGCAGCCCTCCAGCCCTCCTTGCTGCTTTTTGCCACCGCCTCATGCTGGCCTTTGGTGTGTCATAAAAGCACTCCTATCACAGGCAATTTGATTTAATTATTCGGGTAAGAATTCACAAGGCACTGTGTCAAATGCTTAATTAAAACCTCAATCTATGCTGCTGCCTGCACCCCACAGTGCGCGCTGGCAGCGATGCGCTCGGCACACTCTCTGGCTGCAGTTGGATGTGAGCTGTCTGCTCCAGCTTTGTAACCCCAGGAGCTCTGCCCTGGCTGGGAATGCCAAGAGAAGGACCTATTCTGCTTTCTCATTGTGCCCAGCGTTGCACCAAAGCACAGCAGAGCTGCTGGGAGCATCCTGCAGGGCAGCACTCACAGCTCTGCGCTCACAGTCGGTGCCTCGGTGCTCTTTATGGCTTTGTCCTGATGCCCCTTTCCTTCCAGCAGGGGAAGAAAAGGAGCAGGGTTGGAACTGAATTGGCTTGAGGGCCTCTTCCAGCACCAGCTATTCTGTGATTCTGTGGGAGGTGGATGAGGGAGCGTGGGGGGAGCAGGCAGAGGGGAGGCAGTTGGGGCGTCCCGGGGCCCCACGCAGCCAAAGAGAAGGGGCTGTGCATTTCCCTCTGAGTGAAAGAACAGATGTCTCTTGTCTATGGCCTGCAGTTGGCTCTGGTTTTCATCTCCCCTGTCTATGCACACGCAGATTTATAGCTGCCTTAATTAGTTCCTTACAAAACAATCTAGTTGCCCGCATGTCTGTCTGAGCCCCGGGAGGTGAGGCGGGCAGGAGGCCGGGGCAACGTGGGGTGGCACAGCCGTTCAGCAGCCCTGACTGCCTGCATGACTTCAGGTCACCTGCTGTGGCCAGGGGATGCTACTGACCCCATGGGCACAAAGGGCTTCACCTCCTGCTGCATGCAGGGGATGCGATGAAACAGGGCAGGCTCAGCTCCACGCATGCACAAAGCCACCCCAGCACACGTGCACAAAACCACCTGTGCACACGTGCAGCTTGCACGCTTTGCTCTCTCCGTGCCTTAACCTGCACAGCCTGGCTGCGCTGTGCCCAGGTCCCCCATGCACGGAGCTGCACGGTGATGCTTCTCTGAGCACCTTTCACGAGCACGCCGTGTAAACAAGCCATGACTCAGCTGCCCGTGTGGTTTCCCCAGTGGAAATGCTTCGTCCGCCGCTGTGGAAAGAGCAAAGATTGCCTGCAGGGAAGAGCCGACAGCTCCATAAAACGTCACGGAGTCGTGCAGGTCTGAATGGGGTGCAGGGGAGATGGTTGGGGGTGAACGCTTCCCAGCCCAAACTGAGAGGTGTGCATGCATTGCAGGCAGCTGAGGGCAGAGCCACAGCGGGTCCCACACCTCCCGCAGAGCCCCGTCCACCCCACAGCTCCTTTCAGACAAGAAAACTGACTGCTTACATAGCCCAGGCTCGCAGTTAGTAGAAAAACATGTTTTTCGCATTAAAATTTCCCTTGAAAAACAATGGTTTAAATTAAGCATAGGAAAAGAAAAGCAAAGAATCAAAAAAAAAAAAAAAAAAAGGGGGTGGGGGGGTGGGGGAGGTGGAGAGGGGGCAACAAATAATTTTAAAAAGGGAAATTTGAGGTGGAGCTCAGAATCAGCCCCCTGAGAGCTGCAGAGCTGCAGCTTTCCCCCATCCCAAGGAAGCAGGTGGGGTCCCGAGGACTGTGCAGCACTGAATGTGGTTGGAGGAGATGCTGGAGGCTGCGGTGCAGAGCTCAGCCCCAGACGGGCCAGAAAGGGTGAGGTGGGGGGGATGCAAATCGTCTGATCTGTCTGTGAGGGAATTCAAAAGGAGGCCGATTCAAATCCGTCGTGACACGAATGGGTTGGGGCTGGCAGACGATCCCTGCGGTGGTTGTTAACAAATCTCGCCGCTTTCCTTTGAGTGGCCTCCAATATATTAATTAAAATAAGCAATTAGACACAATCTGGGTGGAGAGGAGCGGGGAGACCAGCTGCACCAGTTCTTCTCCCTTGGCAAGAAGGCAATGGGGTTTGGGGAGCTGGATGAGAGCACAGCCAGGATGTGCCCACAGCTGCCTGCAGGTCTCCAGACTGACACAGCTGGGTGAGGAGAGCTGGGCAGCAGGGATCGCCTTCCAGCAACCACTTTGTATAAGAAGACAGGGGCCCAGAGGCTAAGTCCTTATAGAAAATGACCTGCCCGTGTCATGGGGGTGGGAGCAGAGAGAGAAACCAAGCGCAAAGCAGCCCAGGATCTGCTGGTTTGTGCTGCTTGCCCTTTCCAGAAGCTCCACATCCATCCCCAGTGATGGGGGATGCTGTGAGCAGGAGACCCTCAACCCCCAAAACCCCTCGAACAACAGGAGATGGGGTAGGCAGAGAGGGAGTGCCAGGGGAAACACGTCTGCTCAGTGCAACGTCTGTGCAGAACAAGAGCCACATGTCTGGGCTTTATCTCAACACAGCACATCTCGTGTCAGCAAATCCCTCAGTCACAGGGTTTTATCCACGGCCTGCAGTTCGTTAATTAGAAAAGTTCCTGCCTGCAGGGCACGCTCATGCCCAGAGAGAGACCCTGATGCTGGGGATCCTCACCCTGCTGACACCCTCAGTGCGACGGGCGCAGGACCCAGCACCGCACACAGGGATGCATACACAGACACACACGTAAGCGTGCAAATGCGTGCAAGCACACAGAGCCCACGGCAGTCCCCCCAGCAGCCCCTGGCACGCTGGCACCACTGGAATTAAGTAATGTCTCAGGAGGTGAGCTCATCACCAACACCCACAGCCGGGCACTGCGAGTGGCAGCAGAGGTGGCCGCAGGCCCTGCCCAGCCCCATCAGGTACCCTGGGAACGTGGCACCACATCTGTGCCGGCTGCAGGAACGCGCCCTGCCCTGAGGCCTGCTCCCATGTGAAACCCAGCCTTCCTCCTCCTCTTCCTCCTCTTGACAGCGGCATCACGCTTTTTGCATCTCCTGCAAAGGCTCCTGTCAGGCTTATGGGGTAGCTGCCAGCTCCGTGCCAGTTGCCCCCACTCCTGAACCCCGCAGGTCTCAATGTGAGGCTGATGCACTCTCAGGTGCCTGGGAATCCAGATCCCTGGTTTGGGGTCACAGAGGGACACTCATCCCCACCACCACTGTGGTATAGCCCAGAGGTGCCCCCATCCCATTAACCCCATCCATCCCATCCCATCCCATCCCAACCCATCCCATCCACCCCATCCCATCCCATCCCAGCCCATCCATCCCATCCCATCCCACCCCATCCCAGCCCATCCACCCCATCCTATCCCATCCACCCCATCCTATCCCATTCCATCCTATCCCATCCCATCCCACCCCACTCCACTCCAACCCATCCCATCCCATCCCATCCATCCCATCCCATCCCATCCCATTCCATCTATCCCATCCTATTCCATTCCATCCCATTCCATTCCAT